CCGGGGTCGCCAAAATTATACCCCCCTTCCCAAATATAATTTTTCGTCGTGAATTTGAAGGCTGGATCAAAATCCTGACAAAATGACCCATTTGGGATGAAATCTTGGTCGCAGGCAAGTCGCAGGCCTGTTCAAATCCTGACAAAATATATCCTGATATAATGCTGTCAAAGAAGAGATGCTTAAGCGCTTATTATCCAGGGGCAGGGTGACGATGTAGTCAAGTATGTTCAACCCCGTGTACTGATCACCAGAGCGATGCGTCGGCTCGCATAATCGCACATCACAGCTAGGGTGTGGCGCTCACCGGCGCTAGATACATGATCGAAGTAAGCGCCAATGGCTTCAAGCTGCCAATGGCTGTGAATCGCCTAGATCTCACAGCCAACTAATAGCCACAGTCAGTGAAGCTCTCACGCGGTCCGAGAAAAAATGGGAATTCTGGTGGCGTCCTCGCTTCCCTGGGTGAAGATTTGATTGAACGTGTTGCAGAACTCGCTTTCCAACAAGAAGTGGCACCGATCCCACCTTATCTGGAGTCAGTCCTAGAGTTTCATAGTGGAATTTAGTCGCTTATAACTAATCTCAGATTCCACTGGGCTGCAACCCGTCTGGAGGCTTCTATGAACACTCGGACAGCTGTGGATTCTTCGCTCCCAGAGATCTGGCAATGTCATCATTGGCACCCGTGTTATTGCCGCCCGCAAATCCCCCCCAAAAAAGACCACACCATACAGTGACGGCCGGCAGGGATATAAGACTGTGGATTGTGCTCCAGAAGCCAAGATATGCCTGCATCTAGTATTCCAGCTCTTCCTCTGTCTCATGATTTCTCCAATCTCGCGGCTACGATTCTCAAGCAGCAGCCACTGCCTCGCCCCAATTCTGTGATTGCAAACAATTTGGCACGGTATCCCCCCCCGGACGGATTATTCAAGGTCGACGAATTCGAACATTTGGATTTCAGCTTAGCGCCGCAGGATTGGGCTGGGTCCGTTTCTCAGACCATGTCGGACATTTTGCCGGCGGTGTACTTCCATACCTGCCTTGCGAATCCTATAAATTTTGCAGTCTCCACCAACGTGGAGTGTTTCCGAGCTGACGAGTCTCGGGAAGGTGAGCTCCTACTGTCTCCTTCTTTTTCAAGACTTAGAGCCAAATCCAGAGTCCAGAGTGGATATCACTGGACGATGAGGGGCTCCTGCCATTCTTGGACACCTTGAATAATCGCGAGCCCTCTTCAAAGCCCGTTTTGCATGCTTTGTGAATTCTCAATCAATTTTTGTTTGGGTTACAGTTTTAACCCGGTTGCACAGTTTTGTGCCGTTGACACCAACAGCACATTCGTCGTTCGGATGCAGCGTGTCGATGACTCGTGAGAGTGTCGAGCAGCTGTTCAGCAAGCTCAACGTCGATCCTGCCTTCGCCATGAATATAATTGGACGACCCGACTATTGGTCTCCGATGACACACCTTCGTTTCGATGACGAGGATGCTTTACAATCATGCGGTACGGCTCGAGCGCAGCGCAACCATGTTCTCACCTGACGACAATTGCAGAGTATTGGTGCCAACATCCTCGGTGGAATCTGCACTATCAAGGTGCACCTCTTTCAATTTACATGCGGTATGATTGTCGCCGCAACACAATTCTTTATATTATCTCCTACAAGGAGGATGATACAATCATCCAAGCCCTAAGATCCATTCTAAATCTTAGCTCATTGTTTGTTGCCGCCTCCCCTGGTCCCGAGAAACGATCGCGGATGTACCTCGAGGACCCTTTTCACCTGCATTCGATGATCTCTTCGTTATCCTTCGAAGCTATGAAGAATCATGTCTCCCGATTTCGTCGCTTCATGTATCATAATGCCAGTCTGTTTCCCTTTTTTCATTCACGCTTGGGGTGCGTAGAGGAGAAGCAGCGCTAACATGCCAACCCATAGATCAATGCAGTGGAAGAGCATTTGACAGGCCTGATTAACACCGACCGCCGAGCGCTTGGCGAGCAAACGACAGCGCTTCAAACCACCTGTTCCAATGCCGATTCGCTCATTGTAGGCGCTGAAGTTGCCATCATCACAGGCAGTGGGATTCGTAATGCCCATCTCAAATTCCATGAAGCCCTCGGAAGCCCATATCATCGCATTACACTTGTGGCGGAGACAGTGCAATATGTTGTGGACTCGTTTAAAAAACAGAAGATGTGGCTTCTCAATTACCAGCAACGGAATCAGAACTCGATCGGTTTAGTGTATAACCTCGTCACCCAGGATGATGCGGCCAACAACATTGGAGTCGCCATTGACATGTGTGGAGATAGCGCCAGCATGAATGCTATAGCATTGCTAACCATGCTTTTCCTACCAGCAACATTCACAGCGGCGAGTCTTTGTTTCAAACTATGAGTTCATCTTGTTAATGTTGTATAGACAATCCTTGGTGCTAACATCTTCAACGAGTCGGCAGCCCTGTCCAGCAACATAAAAGTTACGAACTTCTGGTGGCTGTGGTTAGTTTTAACAGTTCCTTTGACCATTGTGACAGTCGTTTCCTGGAGGATCTATCACCGGAGAATCGTGGGCACACTCTTAAAGACGAAATGAGTATCAAAGCCCAGTAAACGGAGAGTCAATGAGATCTTTTATAACATTCATAACCTTGTTGAGCTTCTCTCTGCGTGTTGACGAGGTTAGTAAAGCGGGCCGATTCCGAGACAAAATATTTACGAAGAGGTGGATGATCAACGGGTCGCACAGATATGGTGGAGAGCGTGGTGGCCTTGACTGACAAGCAATATAAATCTCAACGTAATTAGTTTCCGGTAGACATTCGACACAACATTGTTGAGCTCCGCATTTCATGAGGCAACAGTTATAGTCCAATAATGGCTTGAACTAGGCCGGGCGGCGAGTGGTAGAAATCGAGCACTACGGTCCCATAAACATCATTGTGAATGACGAGAGGGGAAACTTACAGACGACTCCAAAGCGCTTCCCTTTATGTTGCCTTAACCACGGCAGCAGTCGTTCATTCATTCCTTTTGTTGTGTCCCCCAAAGCAATCATCTGTGTTGGAGCAACTCAGATTAATTGGGGAAGAAAATGCGAATACAGACGTCGGGAGTGACAGGGATTTCATCGTTCTTCGCGTGGGCGCTCGCAAACGACACGTACAGCGCTTCCGCTGCAACCTCCGCTGACAAACTTGCATGCATAGCCTTTTCCAGATACTCTGTGACCACCTGGAATTTTGACGTGATATTGGCATCTGCTCCGGAATTGCGGGGTACCAAAGGACGGAACGTGTCCTAATCATATGTCGTCAGTCGTGTGCACGAACGACGCCTGCATACTCACCTGGATGTATGCGAGCCGCTTTGGTTCCGTGTTGAAGATCAATTTGATATCCCCCCCGTTAGGTGTCCACTGCTCAGCATCGAGATGAATGCCAAAGGGGTTGGAAGGCGGTGATCGAAACTGATAGCTGAATCGTTGCAGTAGAATCAACTTACCGCGCGCTGCGCCTAATGTCCCTAGCTTATTCCAACAGTCCATTAAGCCATGCATATGACGTGTGATGTGCAGTACCTTGCCCGAATATTGGAGCCAAAATCTTTTGGCGAGTCCGTTATTCAAAGTGTCGAATATGATCTCTTCGAATTTGCGGTCGTCGACGGGATTCTGTAACTGCTGGAACACCGAGACAAGCACCGTTTCTGTTGGGTGTGCAAAAATCCAGTTGTATAGGCCACAAAGGACGTCATGCAATGTGGTCGTTGATGCGAGCATTGCGGGGCCTTCGAATGCTGATCAGTGATCTGAACCACCTGCGTGAGGGAATTTTGAACCATGAAAAAACCCAATTGTGGCACTTGCGGTATTGTAACCCAGTCGCAGATCAAGAACGCGTATGCCGTCGTTCAATGACTGGGCCATAGAGCGCTCTTGGCATCTATGGAGCGCGGGAGCGTGGATGCTGGTTAAATTAGTGGGAGGAAAGCTCATGCAGATATGAAGGCTCACGTCCCAGTGCAATTAATGAGTTCAGCCTGTCTCGCATCGGAATAGCCCCCTCAAGACAAAATCAGCGGCGATAATGCGACCAAGGGAGACCCTAGGTACATGTTGCAGAGTTATGGGTCCCGGGGAGGTTCAGGTCCACAATCTTTGTGCTGTCACTCAGTCTACTCATCCAGTCACAAGTGGAGAAGGGGACCAAGGGCTCATCGCGACCTACACGGAATTTGAAGTGTTTTGTTGAAAAGCGAAAAGAGACACACCGAAAATGGCTACCGCGCGCTCCAGGCTTTCGGACAGAGTCTTCTCGCCGAGGTATTGGGATAGTGGGGATGGAGACATTGATAATCGTCGTTGCAATGGAACCAGGTCGATATAGCAGAACCCGGCCACTCGTATCCCCAGCACTGTGAGAAGGGGCAAAGCCGGACAAATAAGTCACGCGAAATTGCGCAATTTCGGTGTTTCAGAGTTTCTGAAGTTGCACCTTAAAACTCTTATTTTCAGGATGCCTGAAGGTGAAACTGAACATATTATATTAAGTTACAACTTCAGAAAGCCTGAAGCTTTGAGTTTCAGTGACAATTTCTGCAAGGCTGAAATAGCGCCTTAAATTATAAGTTTCAGTTGCACATTCAGCGCAGGTGAAATTAATAATTCAAGGGTGGCCGAAAACAATAGTTTCTGGTGGTTTTTGGGTCTGCTTGAAACAATAAGATTCAAGCACAGTTTCAGCTGAACAATAAAATTCGGGCACAGTTTCAGTGTTCACCGGCGCACAAAAACAAAGAAAAACAGACCCAGCCCTGAGTTGGACAGGGGATTCCTACAGAATTTACAATGACTGCAACCTTAGTTTCCACAGGTGCGTTTCCACTACACCACTGGGTCATCTAAATATCAAAGTCAAATTAATTGTCCTCGCCAGATGAAAATAAATAAAATTAGAAAATTAAACAGAAACTCCAAAACCAAAGGGAATGACCCAGCCCTGAGTCAAACAGGGAACTCCCACCAAACTTGTTTGTTCCCTGCCTACTTTCAGTAGGTGCGTTCAGGGTGCGTTACCGCTACGCCACTGGGTCATCTAAATGTGCAAGTGATTTATTATTGATTGTCTTCACCAGATGCTGAAAATTAAAACTAAAAGAAACTCCAAAACAAAGTAAAAGACCTGGCCTTGCGTTCAACCTGACCACTAGGTCCTTCCTTTACTAAAAAATAGAACTTAAAACCTTGCATCATTTTCTGCCCATGGAACAAAAGGAACTCCAGCGCAGACAAATGACCCAACCCCAAATCGAAAGGGGGACACCGACAGAAACATGTTTACCTCCAAACTTCAGCAGGTGTGTTGCCATTACACTACTGGGTCATTTGTTTTTTTAATTCTTTAATTAAATCCACCTCTTCTGATTATTTTGGGTTGAGCTGACCTTGAATGGAAATCCTCCCAAAGAAATGAGGCGGTGTGCATCTCGCAAGGGGACCTTTATCTCGATGTAATTTTAACTCAAGTACTGAATTTCACCAGCTGCGTTGGGATGGTGGAAAGAAATGAATAAGTTCAACCCGAAGCTTAAATTTTTAGGCCACAACTTCGTGTCGAAAAAGGGCTTAGAAAAAGGGCTTAGAAAATGCCTGTAGACAAATCACAAAACTCTGGGTCTGATATATTCAATGCCCAACTGATTGTATGCTTGAGGTTGTACGGGAATTTCGACATGAGATTGAACTTCAAACGCAATATAGTCGTAGAGTATGGAAATATTTCAATAACTATCTACGCGACGTGCGATTTGATGAAGTCAACAATGTCTTGCAAGGATTTCTCGCGGACGCCGTCTGGCTCATTGTGAAGCTCGTGGTACGCGCCCTAGGCGGCGTTAAATGCGCAAGGGACTCGTTGGGAATTATACCTACCGGGTATGTAATCATTTTCTTGTCGGTCGCAGGGAGCTTGTCGAACAACGCCTTGGCGCTTTCACAGGAGGTGACCTGAGAGCAAGACTTCAGACTCGGCGTACTTCGTGTTGAATATACAAACAGGGTCCGGGGTTCCGTGAAGGAAGAGAACCTGGTTTGAAAATCATTAATTCTGTGCAGAGAGGCGACCGGTGTTTCTCACGGGCACATCCTTCGGCCAATTGATATAACTGGTCGACAGAATATACGCGCCCTGTAACAATGTTATTTAAAAAGAAATAAATATGGCAGTGAATTTTTAACTATGTCCAACATGTCCAGTATACTTCGTATACTCCCCGGCGTCTTTACGAGTGGGTCTGTCAGATACTGCGCGTTCGTGACTGGATTGCGAGAAAGGTCCTGGAAGTCATGGTATTTATTTAGACCTTAACAATAAAAAATAGGACTGCCCCCACACCTGAGGCTTATTTCGAATCGGATAAATCATGTACGGGTTCACCACCGCAAGAGCTCTGACGATCCACAGGACGGGCTTAGGCACCGTTTTAGTAACAGTTATGCAGGGACTCCCAGCGATGACACCGTGAACGGCGATCAGAGCTTTGTGGGTGGCCCGGTTTACGTCGCACATTAAACTCAGGGCAAGTCCGCCGCCCTACAAGAGTCACTTAGGTTGAACTTGGCTTGAGGAAGATGGCGAAACTTACTAGAGACGCGCCCATCAAGAAGATGGGCAAAGCACCAAGTTCGACTTGAACATGTTCAATTGCCCACTCCACGTCATCCAGCTGGCTTTCTCTGTCTGTTTTTCCATATGCCGAGTCGCTGCTCCTGTTCTCTTTATCCAGCGCCGTCCTCCCAAAGCCTCGCAGGTCGAATACGAAGACGGAAATCCCTTGCTGGGCAAGGGCGTTGTGCATATCGGTATAGCGGCCGGCATGCTCGGCGGCGCCGTGCAAGAAGACGAGGACCGACGTGGGGTTTTCTGCGTTGTACATTCGAGTATAGAAGCTGGTATCTTGCGGGCCAGAAAGCCATGTTTCGGTGTAATGGGAAGACATGGACATAGGTTGGTGTCAGGTCGGTGTGGCATTGTGGGCGTCATACGTAAACGGGAAATTTTAGGCTCTTCTCGGCGGGCAACACAGCAGCTTTCAGAATTTTAGGAATAACCGAATGGGATTGATCTCTATTGATTTGCAAGGATCTGCAGTTCATCGCTCATTTGTCCTTCTTGCAGTGCAACTTGCAGGCCACAGACGACTTAAACGGGCTAGGCAGCATATGGCGCCCACTAACCTCGTGGCATGCTCAACGCGAACTTTGCGTCGACGGGACCAATGTTCCTCAAAGGTTTAAATTTTTTCTGCATTCGATTCAGTGAATAAAAGGACGAACGAACTTCAGCCAAGTCTTCACAGCTTTCCTATCCCTCCTCCCTCTCTTCAACCTTGTTCACGATGTTCAGCTTCAAGACTCTCGTCGCTGCCACGGCCTTTTCTTTGCTCGCCTGTCCGCCCAAGGCGCACGGATGCAGCGCAACCAAGTTCAGCACGGGCTTCCGGCAGGCTGAGAAAGTTTCATGACTTGGAACCCTAGTCAAAAATAAAATCGGTTTTCCTGGTTCCAGAGATAACCAGGTCTCGGATTACTAATGTCCTTCGCCCTCAATCGTACCCCCTTTTTGCCACACTCTGACAGGCTGCATCAGCTTCGCAATATCCCACAAATTTTCAACACACGCATGGCAACTTGATGGCGTATTAAATATGGCGATAATCCCGGTAAGGCCGACAAGCGGCACAGCCCGCTACCTGGTTTACAAAAAAATCTAATAAAATTATGTTCACCGAACTTGCTCAACACCAGTGGCCTAGGCCGTTTGTAAGCCTGGTACATAGTAATTTACATGCCTCAGTCCCGCTGAAGACCGCCGGGCCTCACAATTGTACGAGTTAGTAGCTACAGGAAATTTACGAACCATTTCGGAAAGGACAGCCTGTTTCAGTCTGGCACACCTTTAATTCTCTGCTATGTACTATGCATGCACTTAATATTCCGGAGGCACCCATAACTCACTCGGTCGACGCTCCTGCCCTGACCAGCTTCGAGGAAACTGTACGTCTTCAATCTATCATCATTTTCCTCCTCATTTCGATCCTACAGTGCCAATTATCGTCGCTTTCACATAGTTTGATATCCTTCGCGAGGATCAGGGGAACAAACTCGAGAAGCAGCTGGAACGGCGATGACGACAGATTTGAGGCAGAGCTCGATACCATCGTGGCCTCGACAGTACAGGACCTTTGTTTCAAACCGTTATGCGCCCTTACGCTCTCGGAACCCCCCAAATGGGTTGCAACATCGAGTGCGTGTCTTCTCCTGTCGTAGATAACTCCATTCACTTATTGATTGTCGACAGCAACTGACCCACGTTACAGGACGACAATCGCAGATCTGGTCAACCTCGCCCTTGAACTCACTAAAATAGAAAATGTCTGGATTGAAATGGCTATAGCACAACGGTCCAATGCTGAAGCAGGTATCGATGCATCGATTCGGTAATAGCCTTGACTCTCATAGTGAATTCGAGGTTCTCATTCGATTTCCCGCCAGTGTTGGACGGAAACGTACGATCGGAGCGGATCTATTTAAATCGTGCTGTTGACGAGTTGAACAGGATATTGGCGTGGCCTTATCTCCGACATCTTTCTCGGCTTCACGATGAGAAGTGTGCTGGAGGTTTTGCAGAAAGATATTGTCAATGTGTGGAACATGCATGATCCTGAGAAGGTGAGTGGTATTCAGATCGCAGGAGAGGCTCCTCCCTTATTTCTCGCCAACGTTCAGCATCTGAAGAAACCAGAGTTCTTGGCTTTGTTGTCAGCTCTGGTGGAAGATCTATCCGATGAGGCTACATATGCACTTACTTTAGTGCCTAGAATTAATTGTGAAAATCTTCTTGAAGAAACAATTACCCTTTGACCGAGAAGGCTGTACAAGCACTTAATCATCGAGAACCCGGCCGCCATCGTCATTGCTGGCCCCACAGCGGCGTTTGTTCTGTTCGCAGAATGGGTATGAGGGACGTACAAGAAGATGTTCGTGACTTTGATCAGCTCGTCATATGCCGCTCCTCTGACGGTAATAGGATCCCAGGAAAAGCTCCGTCCGCTGTCTAGTAGCGTTCCTCGTCGACCTCACGCTCACCATGGACACCCTGTTCTATCTTGTGCTTTCCCGAGGTCAGACACCGATCAAAATCGCACTCGTCAATAGCGCACTCCGGATCTACAACAGTCGCAAGGCCCCCGTGTATGCCAGCATAAAAGCATGGGTGGACAGATGGGGAACATTTGGCCACTTGGACGCAGATGTTGTCATCAAGAAGATCGCAGACATTATAATGAATAACAGTGTGAAGCCTGAACAGTGGGCAATGTCGGAGGAGGGATTCAACGAGTCATGGATGCTGATAGAGGCGCTTAGGGAGCCCTAGACTGAGGACTACATATCTGCCTTTATGCCATTTATTTCGTATTTCTTCCATCCAATTTGGCGATCGTGGTGTTAAGTGCAACGGATCTTCAATTTGAGTCCAAATTGAGCATGGCTTCATCAATCAACCGGGCCACTTAGCAGCGCTCTGTCTTCGGATTTGGTCAGCTGTGCTGGCAACACAGTAACACCACCTTCGCAGACATCACCTTGTGCTGTATTCACACTACTTCCATCAAATACGACAGCAAGCTGTGAAGCTCATTGCCAAATGTGGAACAAGAGAACACACAGCCGCGATTACAGCGGGAGAACTCACTGATGCTCCAGTCTTGAATGCGGTGATTGCGCGTGAAGTGCCTTTGATGTCAGATCTTCTGGCATATATGTACCCTCTCACCGGCTCCCATTTTTGCCCTCAATGACTTCCAACGCCGAAACCCCCTCTGAGAATGACTTATCGTTCTGGAATGACCGACATTTGAAATTCCGTGTGCTTATCCTCGGCCGTGCGAATGCCGGCAAAACAACAATACTTGAGAGACTAACTGGAGCCACCATGGACGAGGCAGAGGTCTGGCGGGATGGAAAAATACTGCCTGGCCAGGTTTGTCAACTGTTGAAGGATTTTGATTATTATGTCTGATCGAGTTGATCC